TTTTTAGTCTGCTCTTCTGTTCTTTTTAGGTGGTGGGGTACTGGGAATTGAACCCAGGGACTTGTGCTTGCCAGGCAGGTACTGTGTCTCTGAGATACATCCCCTGCTTGTGCTCTGCTTTAGCTTTTCTTAAGAATTTAAAAGGTGTGTTTGTGTGTGTGTGTGTGTGTGTGTGTGTGTGTGTGTGTGTGTGTGTGTTTGATTTTTTGAGACAGTCTCACTATGTAGTTGAGACTGACCTGGAACTCACCATGTAACCCAGGCTGGTCTTAAACTTGTATCGATACTCCTGCCTCAGCCTCCTGAGTGCTGGGATTACAAGTGTGCGCCACCACGCCTGGCAAGAATTTTAAAAGTTTTAGGGGCACCACTGTCTGCCTCGCAAAGGCAAGGACCCAAGTTCGATCCCTGGTACAAAAAAAAAAAATTTTTTTTTTTTTTTTTTTTTTTTTTTTTTTTTTTTGTGATGCTGGACTGGGGTCAGGGCTTTGTTCTTTCAAGGCAGGCATGGCACCACTGAGCTAAATTACCCTGGCCCTAAGAACTTAACAATTTAAATGTTTTTGTAATTAGGGCAATTTTCTCAAATATGTAGGTATTGTAGGTAAATAAAAAGAATCACGTGAAGACATTTTATTTACTATTATTTTTATTTGTTCTGTGTTGTAGGCTTCATAGAGAGATTTGAATTACTTTTTTTGTTTTGTTTTTAGACTGTAATGACTTATTTAAACTTACCTGTTTTAGGAAGCATTCAAAGCTGTGGAAGATATACATGGGCTCTTTTCCTTGTCTAAAAAACCACCTAAGCCTCAGTTGATGGCAAATTACTATAACAAAGTCTCAACTGTGTTTTGGAAATCTGGAAATGCTCTTTTTCATGCATCTACACTGCATCGCCTTTACCATCTGTCTAGAGAAATGAGAAAGAATCTCACCCAAGATGAGATGCAAAGGTAGGAATGTTAAAGTTGGATAATTTTGAAAATATGAAACATGTCTAATACCAGGTGACATGGAAGTAGTCTCAGTCAGGCTTTCTCAACCTCTGCTCAGTTAAACCTAGGACTTTTACACTTGTTTCCCCAACCCTTTATAAGTTTGTACCTAAGTCACTAAATTACCCAGGGTGGGTTTGAACTTGGAATCTTTTCTGCCTCGGTCACTCAGAGCACCGGGATTTTGGGAGGCATGCACCACTGTGTCTGGCTTGGAGTGGGTAATTCTTTTTTTTTTTTTTTTTTTTTTTTTTTTTTTTT